TTATTCTAGTTGTCCGATAGGAACATTTGTTCAACTTCTTTGAAGACATGGATTCATGTCTTAGATTTGCCTTCCGAAACTTTGAGTTTCTCAAGGCATCCTACCAATTCATTTATAAAGTCATCTTTTTTAGATGATAATTTATATTCATCATTTCTAAAAAGATGTAATGAGTTTAGCATAACAAAGTCTTGTGGTGCTTTGTAAAACTCTCTTATTTCAAGAGCAACCTTTTTGGGTCTGCTGAATAGATTATTCTATCTTGAAGAAGGCAATCTTTTTAGACTGCTAAAGAGATTGCTCTATTTTAGTTGTCTGCTTGCCTAGAGACTAGAGGTAAAGGTTGGTGTAGTTGTTTTGTTGGATGATTTAGTTGGAAAAATCATCTTTTACCTCGGTCTTATAAGGAGTTATTTGAGCGGATTTATCTCCTTTTGAGAAGACTCGGGAGGGTGTATGGCCTTAGTAGGCCTTGTTTGAGTCCGATAACTTTGGTAAGTGGCTTTTAGGGTTGTTAGAAAATTAGTGTCTTTAAAATCGGGTATGATTTGTTATCGAATTCAAATAACTGTTTTAGCCACTTAAAGAAGTTTAACCTTATTGGGGTTATGAAAACATGTTCCATGTACCTTTTTAGGTAATAGTTCTTCTTTTTCTTCTTCTTGTTTTTTTTTTTAAGAACCGATTTGAGTTAATAACCATTTCTTATAGCGATCCTTTTTAGGATCATTAAACATTTTCTCCACGTGAGGAGAGGGAAATATTATTCCTAGTTGTAACTCGGCTATATAGCCCATGTCCGACATTGTTAGTAATCAAGGCTCGCTTTTAGGCCCGAACGATGCTTCGTAGGCTCCTAGGTCTACCCAATATTGAGGGTGACTCGGTTGGGATCTAGACCTATTTAGGTCGGATATTGACTCCTTTTTTATTTCGAGATATGGATAGATAAGCTTGAGAATCTGGAAGATGAGCCTCTAGATTGTTTACTTAAATTTTGTTTAATTTTTCTAAAAGGAGAGAAAGAAATTTCTATATCTCCATCAATAAACTCAGTAATTTTTTCTAAGGCTTTGGGTTCTTTCTTTTTTGGAGGAGCGGCCTGATCAAGTTTTTAAGTCAGTTGACTCTACTCAATTGTTTTTGGGACCACTAGGTTGCATTTAGATACATCTATAAGGAACAAAAAGGTTTCTCCTTTTTTTATTTTTTTTGAGCTCGTTAGTTCTTGGGTTCATCTTATATTAGGCGCTAAGGTTTTCATTACTTTGTAACAAATCCTATAAATTAGAAAAATATTTTCAGATCTTGTAAGCATGTCATAATCATTGGTTTTGATGTCTACGGCCAGGATTGTAGAAGGTTATGGTATGTGTGTATATATATATATATATAAAAGACACTTATCGTTTCAGTCACGCGCAGGAAAAAGAGAGTAGAAAAAGACAATAAAAGTTATCAGGATTTGGGACAGCTTTTTAAGTTACACGAGGGACAATAGCGGTCAGTCTGTGAGGCCCATCTTTACCATTGTGACGAAAAAAACTATAATATTTTGATGTCAAGCTACATTTATATTTTTTTAATGGACAAATTAGTACTTTTTTTTTAATAATCAGGAAAAATCAATACTTATGACAGCAACGGTCCTTTACTTTTTATAATGTTGGGTAATGTCCAGGTTACGTGGTGTGCGATTTTATATAGAATTTTATGGAAAAAAAGAAAGATTACAGAATAGGGTAATCTCATAAATACTATTTTTTGATATTATAATATATTTGGTGAAAGAATCACAAAAACTGTTTGTAGTTATACCAATTGATGAAACATATAGAAAAAGCTTAAAGCGAATGAGACCAAGAAGAGAAAGGATAAAAAAACCTATAAAAAAAGTACGTCATGAAGGAGTTTCACATTGTATGAATCATAATTATAATATTTTTATTTTTCTTATTTGTATTTTGTTGGATTTCTTGAGTAATCTTGAATTGTGAATCAGTACTTATGTTCTTCGGACTAATATTCTAACAAATTATTTTAAAAAAGAAATGACATTAGATTTAATTATTAGAGTTCATTTATATATCTCAGAGTTTGAAAATACATATGAAATGCAACTTCAAAATAAAATAAAAAAACTATAACTTAATGTAACATATAGCTTTTTTTTTTTTCTTTTTTTCCCCATTTACTTCAATTATGGCTTAGGAACTGAAATTAGGCATTTGTTCAAATCTTGATCATGACCTCTATTGATCAGAACTTGGAAAAAGTTTAGAAGAAGATTGAAATCTAAGAAGGATTTTTTTTTTTTTTTTTGAAATACCATGAAAGAAGTAAACATATATGATTTATTTAAAACATATGAAACTTGAGAATTGTGGAAGATTTTTAGGGTGTTTATGTAGCCCAAGAAAAAAATTAAGGTTGAAAAGAGAAAGAGCAAGAGGAAGAGATGAGAAGGGAAAGATAATGCAAAATTCACAGGTCTTATTGATGCTTGGAAAAAGTTCCTCTAAGAGTTTATTTACAGAGGTTAATTTTTTTGCTAAAAAGTTAAAGAGCTGTGGCTATACACATAACTTAACTAACTACAACTGTAGCTATATATAGTAAAAAGAGATCCAAGCGTTATATAGTCATCCAATTATATATATTTTTGATGAAAAAGTTAACAGATAGCAAAGAAAACAGTGCTGTCATTATCAAATTATTCGATAACAAACTATAGTGCATGTATTGTTGTATCATGAATAACATTATTAATTATATTAATTTAATATCATTTTTTTACTTATATTTATTTCAATTTAAAATTCCTATTCATAAAAATTAATTTAAATTATGGATATTGTATAATTAACAAGATAAAATGTTCAATATTATTATTCGTAATAAATATTAATAATATTCTTAGTTATGTAAACACGTAAGATAAAAATTAAAGACAAATTTTCTTTATATAAAAATTATCGCTCTTCTTACCTGTAATCCTTGTCGTTTAAAGAATTCATGTAAAACCTTTCCATTTAAGTAACTAATGAAAAGCTCCAAACCGAATTAGAAAACTGACTTTAAACCCTTTTTTTTTTTTTTTTTTTCCATATCCTCCATTATATTCACCATTGTTTTGGAACCATATTGTGGCATCCCACCTGGAAAATTTTCCTCAATTTGCAATGTAACAAACTTATGCAATTAAATGTTTTTAACCTTCTGATTTGATCATCAACAAACCTTCCAAACATCGCAAATTTAATGCTTGGATTTGGCCAATTAATATTACGTATATGCTTATCCTTAACATGAAAGGATCCCAATCGTACGTGTTTGTCAATAATCATCCTCTTGGACTGGGAAAACAAAACACATAGCATACCACAAAGCTGCAAATGCCAACTTTATATATAATTTATGGTTGCAAAAGTTGGAAACCATGAACTCAACTCTAGATATAGAAAGCTGGAAGTTAAAAATTAATCCAATACTAAGAGACTTACTTCTATATCAAATGGTCGAACCATTTATGGTGTTTGTCACTATTGAACAGGTTCGCAAGATTTGACATTTAAAGTTGGAACCCAAAGAATAAAAAAACAATATGCATGGGCGTATATAAATGCCTTTGCACTACCGCATGATTTCATTTAGGTCAATGAAGTGATTTTTTCGCTTAACTTTCTTGGTAGGGAAAAGGAGGAAAGTTTAGAACCACACGTGTAATGAAACGTAGTTGCATTCAAAGTAATATTATTGTGGTAGGACCCAAATCCTAAAGTACTAAAAAAAAAAAATGATAATAATTATGCTATCAAACAGGACATAAATCAAATGCAAAAGCATCTCAACGCATGCACAAATTAAGAGGTGAAGGAAGGAGTCGAGCTAAGAGACATTGGAGTTAGCACATGGCATCGGACTTCCTTCCTTCCTTCTCCTTCTAATTAACAAATACTATTCTACTTTACCCTTTAGCTTTCCCAATGTAAGAAAAGGAGTGCTCTTGCTTAAAAAAAGATGACTGCTCCCCGTATAAATGCCAAAATCACTTTGATTAATACTCGTGAACAAAGAGGCCTCATAATAATAAATTAAGGAGATGGAATCTTCCCCCCATTCCATTAATTGACAGTGATGGTTCAATCCTTGATCACACGTACACTAACAAATTTTTTTTTTAAAAAAAAAAGCTAGAGAGACAAAGAGAGTGTCCTAGCGAGAAAAACCCAATAATAATTAGTACAAAGTGATCAATCCAAATAAATGGTAGCTCAACTCATACTAAATGTTCTTTTTTTTTTTTGAAAAAAAAATCTCCGATTCAATTTTTTTTTGTTATAATGAAAAAAATGTAAACAATCTATTTTAGTAATTGAAGATAATATTAAATAAATTGTTAATATATTATATACTAATCTGAATATTAAAACTCTTATGAATTCATCTTTTTATATATATATATATATATGTGTCCGAAAATAACATTAATATTAAAATCAAAATAAAATATATAAACAATGCTTTTTCTTTATCGATTTTTGTTTCAAAAAAGAACAACTTGGGTTTCAATAAACAATTATTCATGAAACCTAAAAAGTTAAACCCCAATTAGAGAGACAAAGAGAAAATTTTATACACTCAAGTAGATAGAGAAATGGGGTTTGGCTAGAGACACAAAAACGAAGTTATAAAGAATTGGGTTTTGGTTCTCTAGAGAGAGAAAGAGAAGGCAGAGAGGCACATGGCATGTGAGCAACAGCTGTGTCCACTCCCCACTTGATAAATACCCTTCTTACCATCCATCCTCAGCCTTTTGACTCCCTTAGCTTCCTTGCTTCACCTTTCAAATAAAACCAAACTCTCTCTCTCTCTCTCTCTCTCTCTCTCTCTCTACAAGCGAAAACCAGAGCTTGAAGCTCTCCACCTCTCTAATGGCTGCTCTCAAACCCTAAAGGCTTAACCTTTTCTCTATCCCTTCCAGAAAACCATCAACAAAAATGAAAGCCCACTTCTTCGTTTTGCTTCTCTCTCTTACCTTTCTCCCTCTACAAGCCTCACCACCACCTTTTTTTACCTCAACAAACAAAGACACCCAAAACCTTATCAACTTCAAGACTGCTCTCTCTAGCCTCTCTCTCCTTCAAAACTGGCTTCCTAACCAAAACCCTTGTACCTTCACTGGAGTTAATTGCCAAGAAACCACTAACAAAGTCTCCTCTATAGACCTCACTAACATTTCCTTAAATTGTGATTTTCACCCCGTGGCTACGTTTCTTTTGTCTCTTGAAAACTTAGAGAGCCTTTCTTTGAAATCAGCCAACATTTCTGGACCTATTTCTTTTCCTGTTGGATCTAAGTGCAGCTCGGTTCTGAGCAACTTAGATCTATCTCAGAATAGTTTCTCAGGTTCTGTCTCTGATATCGCCACTTTACGTTCTTGTCCAGCTTTGAAATCCTTGGACCTTTCTGGCAACTCCATTGAGTTTTCAGTGCTTAAAGAGAAATCAAGGGGGCTAAGAGGGCTCAGCTTTAAGTTCCTTGATCTTTCTTTCAATAATATTGTAGGCTCAAACGTGGTGCCTTTTATTTTATCTGGAGGCTGCAATGAGTTGAAGCACTTGGCTTTGAAGGGAAATAAAGTGAGTGGAGATATTGATTTTTCAAGTTGCAAGAATCTCCAGTATCTTGATGTCTCTGCAAACAATTTCTCTTCGAGTGTTCCCTCATTTGGTGACTGTTTAGCTTTGGAGCATCTTGATATCTCTGCCAATAAGTTTTATGGTGATCTTGGTCATGCAGTTGGGGGTTGTGTTAAGCTCAGCTACTTGAATGTTTCAAGCAACAAGTTTTCAGGTCCAATCCCAGTGCTTCCAACTGGGAGTTTGCAATCACTTTCACTTGGTGGCAATCATTTTGAAGGGGAGATTCCTCTGCATCTCATGGATGCTTGTCCAGGTCTTGTTATGCTTGATCTTTCCTCAAATAATATCTCTGGTTCTGTCCCCAGTAGTTTTGGTTCTTGCACTTCGTTGGAAACTTTTGATATTTCTACCAACAACTTCACTGGTGAATTGCCTGTTGATACTTTCTTGAAAATGACTAGTCTGAAGAGGCTTGATTTGGCATATAATGTTTTTATTGGTGGTTTGCCTGATTCTTTCTCACAGCACACTAGTTTGGAGTCTTTAGATCTGAGTTCTAATAGTTTATCTGGGCCAATCCCCACTGGTTTGTGTCAAGGTCCAAGTAACAACTTCAAAGAGCTGTATCTTCAAAACAATAGGTTTACTGGGTCTATTCCTGCAACCCTCAGTAACTGCTCTCAACTTAGAGCACTCCATTTGAGCTTCAATTACCTCACTGGGACTATCCCTTCGAGCTTGGGATCGCTCTATGAGCTTCGCGATTTGAACCTTTGGTTCAATCAGCTCCATGGAGAAATCCCACCTGAGTTAATTAACATAAAAGCACTTGAGACTCTGATTCTAGACTTCAATGAGCTGACAGGAGTGATACCTTCAGGTATAAGCAATTGCACCAACCTTAACTGGATCTCACTGTCTAACAATTGGTTAGGTGGTGAGATTCCAGCATCGATTGGCAAGCTTGAGAGTCTTGCAATTCTCAAACTGAGCAACAACTCCTTCTATGGTAGAATCCCGCCAGAGCTTGGAGATTGTCGTAGCTTGATTTGGTTGGATCTCAATACCAATTTTCTGAATGGAACAATCCCACCCGAGTTGTTCAAACAGTCTGGCAGCATTGCTGTAAATTTTATCAGAGGAAAGAGGTATGTGTATCTGAAGAATGAAAAAAGCGAACAGTGTCATGGGGAGGGAAATTTGCTTGAGTTTGCTGGAATAAGACCGGAACAGCTGGGCAGAATCTCGAGCAGTCACCCCTGCAACTTTACCAGAGTATATGGAGATTACACCCAGCCCACATTTAATGATAATGGGTCAATGATATTCCTCGATCTTTCTTACAATATGTTGTCTGGCAGTATTCCAGCAGCGATTGGGAGTATGTCGTACCTCTATATTTTGAACTTGGGCCATAATAATATCTCTGGAATCATTCCGCAAGAGATTGGAAAGTTGACTGGTCTTGACATTCTTGACCTCTCCAACAACAGGCTTGAAGGGATGATTCCTCAGTCAATGACTGGCCTTTCATTACTCTCGGAGATTGATATGTCCAACAATCACCTCACTGGAATGATTCCTGAAGGGGGTCAGTTTGTAACATTTTTAAATCGTAGTTTCCTCAACAACTCAGGCCTCTGTGGGATACCTCTTCCTCAATGTGGGTCAGGTTCAGGATCAAGCCCGAATTCTGGGCATCAGAAGTCGCATAGGAGGCAGGCATCTCTGGCAGGGAGTGTGGCAATGGGATTGCTGTTCTCGCTTTTCTGCATTTTTGGTTTGATTATTGTTGCTGTGGAAATGAAGAAGAGGAAGAAAAGGAAAGATTCAGCCCTAGATGTCTATATAGACAGCCGTTCACATTCTGGCACGGCAAATATTGCCTGGAGGCTTACTGGTCGTGAAGCATTAAGTATCAGCCTCGCCACATTTGAGTCGAAGCCTCTGCGGAAGCTCACTTTTGCAGATCTTCTTGAAGCAACGAATGGCTTCCACAATGACAGCCTTATAGGCTCTGGAGGTTTTGGTGATGTGTACAAGGCACAACTGAAAGATGGAAGCGTTGTGGCCATCAAGAAACTGATACATATCAGTGGACAGGGTGATAGAGAATTCACTGCCGAAATGGAGACCATTGGCAAGATCAAGCACAGGAACCTCGTTCCACTCCTTGGTTACTGCAAAGTTGGAGAAGAGCGACTCTTGGTGTACGAGTACATGAAATATGGTAGCTTAGAAGACGTTCTACATAACCAAAAGAAAACAGGGATCAAACTGAACTGGGCTGCAAGAAGAAAGATTGCCATCGGTGCTGCCAAAGGATTAACTTTTCTTCACCATAATTGCATCCCGCTTATCATTCACCGGGACATGAAATCCAGCAATGTCTTGCTTGATGAGAACTTGGAGGCCAGAGTCTCTGATTTTGGAATGGCGAGGCTTATGAGTACAATGGACACCCATTTGAGTGTTAGCACCTTAGCAGGCACGCCTGGTTATGTCCCTCCCGAATATTACCAGAGCTTTAGGTGTTCAATCAAAGGGGATGTGTACAGTTATGGTGTAGTCTTGCTTGAGTTGCTGACAGGAAAAAAGCCAACAGATTCATCTGATTTTGGTGACAATAATCTTGTTGGGTGGGTGAAGCAGCATGCCAAATTGAAAATAAGCGATGTTTTTGATCCGATGCTTTTAAAAGATGATCCGAGCCTTGAGATGGAGCTCCTAGAATATTTAAAGGTAGCTTGTGCTTGTTTAGATGATCGGCATTCTAAACGACCCACAATGATTCAAGTAATGGCGATGTTTAAAGAAATCCAAGCAGGGTCTGGGCTTGACTCACGGTCCACGATCGCCACGGAAGATGGAGGTTTTAGTGCAATTGAAATGGTAGAGATGAGCATAAAAGAAGGCCCAGAGCTAAGCAAGCAGTAGGTAATTCAAAACATTAGAAAGAAGAAAGAAGAAGGTGACGATCATTGAAATGATTCATTCAGCTCCAACAAAATTTTCCTTCTTCTTTACCACTTGAAAATGGCATAAAACTGTCTGCCTGCTTGTTTAGCTTCTACCATTTGATGTATGTATCATGTTTTGTATCCTCCCAGCAAACTCTTGTTATTTTATACATGAAAAGAAGAAGAAGGTTGTTTAACTTGTTAAAAAATGTGTAAATGTACAGTCTCATCTGTTGTTATGCCGCTTTGGTTTTTAGTTTAATTTTCTGTTACGAACCAAACTTGGAAAAAAGAGCTGCTGGATTACCCACCTGTGACCTCAGCCATAGTGACCTAGTTGAGGCTTGGATCTCTTGCCCCTTTCTTCATGTTCTCATTCTCTCTTTCATGATATTCCAACTTTTGTTAAATTTCACTTGCGTTATGGCATGCCACAATCTTCTCTCTGTTTTTTTTTTTTTTTTTTGTACAATGAAACTACATCCTTTTTGGTTGGATCTTACGTAAGTCAAGGAAGGATGATAACGTAAGGACTTTTCCGCTTATAAAATAGACTAGGTCTTCAAGGTTCAAAATATCTCGCGGATTATAAAATATCTCGTCTTTTTCATGTCAATTTGTAATAGTAACATTTTCCATATGATTCCTCTATCGAGTTCCATCACAACACAAGTGGAAAAAAAAAAAAAAAAAAACCAGAACTTAATACTAGCAGTATGGATTTTTCAACGTAGGGCATTTGTTGGGTTCCTATTCTACGTTACGATCTATTCTGGTTTGGGATTTCTTAGGTTTTTTTGGATATTATTTGAAGTATAGGACTTGCTTGTTCTGATTTCTTGTTTAGAAATAAACAAATAAAGAATAGCAATCATTGGCATAAATTTCAGAAACTATTTTCATGTACTCTAAAATTTTTAATATCTGCTTGCTGATTTTTATTTTTATTTTTTAGAGTAAACACCAAAACAAATACTCCATTCCTTTTTCTTTACAACAAAAATAGAAATGAAAGAGCAGTACAAGGGCCAACCATTGGAGGATTTGAAAGCCATGAATCATTGTAGCTAGATAATATTGGGACCATTTCTATTAACACTATCTCTTTAAATTTGAAGAAAAAAATTCATATTATTATTATTCACATTAAAGGCTGGACCAGGACCATCAAAATCCATAATCAAAGTCTCAATCTCATAATTGTAAACCGTACAAAAAAAAAAAAAAAAAAAAACACCCCTAGGCATCAATGACGGCATGAATGTAAAGGTTGGTTGGTACATGGAGATGGAGTAGTAAATTCAGGACTTGGCTTTCCTTGGAAAATTAAGTAATCAATTACATTTGTCTCTTTTTCCATGGATAATGTGCATGGCACGTGGTCTCCGGATCAAGCAATTATAATTTGCTTTCTAGCTTGGAAAGCGTGTACCTCATTTTGGAGCATATGTATACACAAATAGACATACAGCTCTTGCTTGTTCCCTTGGATCGATGGGCATTTATCAAGTTCGATGCTCCCATTTTGACTTCTTGCAAGTTGTGAAATTATATGTGATGCTATATGCTAGACGCACTCCGCTACTTCGATTTGATTGTATGGTTTTGTAGGTTTTTTTGAACTAGCTTTTATGTTCTAACACTTAAATTCTGTTTGACGCTGATAAATATATAGTTGTTTTTATGTAATTTTTTAAAATAGAAATGTTTATTAAAAATTTTGTTTTTATAAAAAAGAGAGATGTTATCTTGAAAACAAGAAAAAGTAGACTTCTTCTATTTCTTATAATTAACTAAAATGAGTGATTTACTATTAATTAAAATGAGTGAATTACTCTAAATCTTCTCTTTTTTGTTTTTAGTGTGATCAAACATTGGACACAACAAGCTCATTTGATCTTAATTAATAGTAATCTTAAAAAAAAATTATGTTAAAAATGAGAAGGACTTCATGGTCTCTTGTTTATCAATCTGTACCTGTTGGAATATTTTTTATTAAAATATTAATTATATTAAAAACTAATAAATGAAATTTTTTTTCAAACAGTTACATTTGAAACAAAAGACCAACGATCTTTTTCATTAATTTTGTTACATTTTTTCATTAAAATTTTTAATATTCTTTTATTGAGTTTTAATGTACATTATATTAGCCATTACAAATGAATAAATTAAATTCTTCAAACGGTTATTTCGCTTGCCTCTATGTACACACACACACGTGCTTTACTTGAGAAGAAAACGTAACATCAAGTTTTTGCTTTGCTTTGGAAGAAAAAATATTTCTTTTATATTTGTTTTTTTAGTCTCCAGCTCAAAAAGCTATATAATCTTTTAATTTTATATTTAGGTAAGAGATATTAATTTTATTTAGAGTTTCAAGTTTTACAAGTAGTGTAAACTTTTTAAGATACGGCAAGGTGGTTAAACTTGTTGTATCCCCGAGATAAAATGTAATATATTCTTGATCTATCGCATCAAATAAATTTTATGGATGACGAGTATCATCTCAAGAAAGCAAACTAGTTGTGTCACAAGCTAGTTACCTAAAAATTATGATAAAACTATTTTGATGGTTCGATCATCTTTAAATCATGACATATGATAACGTGATTTCAATCTCGAAATCTTTGATAATCAAGGTAAAAAGTTTCAATTCTTTTATCCATTTTAAATTATGATAAATTTATTTATTTATTGTGTTAATTTTTTATTATTTAATTATATTCCTTTTGTGTTCTAGGAACAACAATTTGAGACGATACCATGTATGTGATTTTGAGATTAAAATTGAGAAAGGAATTTGGGCAAGACAATTTTATGTTATGCCTTTTATAATGTTAACGTCAATACTTGACTATTGCTTTAGTTTTTTATTATCATGAATTAATTAGTGTTTTATGTTTTCTCCGAGCACAAAGAAAGTATTGAAATAATAATGATAATAATTTGCATGACAAAGAAATTGATTCGTATGTTATTATTATTATTTTTTTGTAACTTACGGCTACCTATCAAATATTATTATTCAAGATTAATAATATTGATAGTGTTGAAAATTAATATTTGTGACATGAACCATGCTCGTTAATTTCTTTTTGTGAAATTTTATTATTGATACAAATATAAATAAATTATAAATAAATTGAGAATTGATTTATAAATTTATTTATATTGATCAATTATAATTGATATTAAAATTATTTGTTTTATTAATGTCATGTTACTAAGATAAATGAGAAGCCATCAAAGGAAATATATCCAATATTTTTATATGGATATATTATATTGAAAGCAAAGTCAAAGAAATCAAATTTATATGGCATTGGAGGTAAAGAAAGGTTGGTCAATAAAATAAAAAGTCAAGTATGTATTTTAAATGTCAAAATTATTAAATTTCTTTGATTTTTACCTCATATATTTGAGATTCTCATATATTTGAGATTGATCACTTTTGGTGATGAAAGTATAAGATACTTATGTTTGCAAGCAATTTTAGATTCTTGTATGAATATTTATTCGTCCGTACTTGAGTTATTTAATCTATAAGTCGTGATTACAAAAAACCGAGGGGGAAATGTGAATTATCATATAAATTTTTGCTATTGAATTCATATTGGTTCATATGATTAATTTATTAAGACTTGAAAAGGTCACATATTAATTTAATTAAGATTAATTGTATTTTGAATGTCAATTATTTTTATGTGACATGTTGAAATTGTTTGACAACCTTACCAGATTGTGGGAATATAAATAATTATGAAAATAATAATCTTGTTTGTAGATTATTAGTAAAATAAAGGTTCATGATTTAATAAAGAATTTTTTCATATATTATTTCTATGTGAAAATAAAAATTTGATATATTATCTTATTTAAAAAATATATCTTGTTGATTGTTTATTCACAAGAATAAATTATAAATGCTAATGATGAAATAATAGAATATTGTATGTCATTACTTTGTCTACAAGTGGTAGCAAGAACATTGTTTATTATGTGAATAGTTAATGCATAAAAAAAATTATTATGTAATTCAAAATAAATTATCATAATTTTTTGCATGATGTTTGAGTTGTTTGCCATACGTAAATTTTTAATATGATGCTATTAGAAATATTTATAAAAGCAATTTTATTATATAAAAAGGTATAATGATGCTTATGGAATATTTGGTAAAAGCATTCCCATTATACAAAAGGTATAATGATGCTTATAGAATATCCGATAAAAATATTGAGAGAATTGATGGAATTAGTGAGACTCCTATTGTACAATTAAGGTACAATGACGTTTTGATGATATTATTAGATAAGTGAAATTAGAGACACTCCTATTGTATAATTAAGATACAATAGTGTTGTAATGATATTATCTAATATGACAATTGGTTATGTTTTGAGAAATTTAAATCTCTAGATAAATATTGACATTCCTATTATATAGATGAGATACAATAATGTCAAATTTATACGAGAAACTAGAGATAAAAAAATATCCCTATTCACTCCAATGAGATTTATTAAATATTTTCCATTGTATTAGAAAATACAATGATGCCATTATTTTTAGCACAATGATGGGGATACAAAAAATAAATATGATTACAATTGTCTCATTTATGTGTGGTGAAACTTAAATTGGCTAAAAGGTCATAGCCAATGGAAAAGCAAGTGGATGCCAATAAAAAAAACAAGTGGATGTTTTCTTTATCTAAAATAGTAAGGATGAAAAATTCCTATTACTTGTCTTAGCACTAATAAATTGATTTAAGTTCTAGTTATCTAATCCTTTGTGTGTATATTGAATATTGTGGGAGTACATCTTTAGCTAAAGTCAAAGGATTAGATGATATATCGAGGGGTATGAGACTAAACCCATGGACTATAGATCCCAAGAACTAGGTTCGGGGAGAAGAACGAGCATAGAGTGGTTTGATTATATGCACATTATATTTGAGTTACAATATTTATA